TGAAAGAAATTACTTAAACACATTAAACGTTGAACAACGTATAGTCGAGCTGATTTTGTGAATATTTAGAAAATGTTATGTTATCGATGTTAAAAATACTGGTAAAAGTCGATTTCATCAATGAAAAGTCGTACCAACGTGAAATTTAGTTGAAAAAATCAAGAAAAATACTGTTTTCTCCAATGGTACGAAAAATAACTATTTTGTTTGTTGTTCCTCAAGGAATTTAATGAAATTTTGTTTTAAATATCTACATAAGCGTTACATAAGTAGACTAAAATTCAACTAAGTGATTCATAGTTTTCAGTTTTATGACTTCTTTTATAAGTAAAAATCTGAGATTTTGCATTTTCTAAAATTCCTAACTAACTTTTATTTATTTAATTAAAAGTCTGTTGATTTTGAGCTTTGCAACCAAAAAAATTAAACTATATTGCTTATTTCATCTCACCTTTTTTTAAGCAAAGTTGAACCCATAATCGAGCTTTTTGTTAAAAAAAAAAACAAAATATTATTATAAATTGATGATCTTAATGCTAAATATAATGGAAGCTTATCTGGCAATAGGGTCTTTTAGAAACTTACCTACAGATAAAGCAATATTATAATCAAGATTAGATATAAGAACTGTGCTTGATAAAGGAAGATACATTTTTTAGTGTTTTAGTCTTTCAATGAAGTTTGGTCTACAAAGAGTATTGTCAGAGTACGTGATCAAGATCTTAGATTACATGGCACATTCATAATAAGTATATTACTGTTCGTCCTATTTTATTGAGGAAGCTTTTAAGTTATAATAACTAGATCTACAACGGTTGATCGTATTGTAGTGTTTAGGTTTAGTAACTGTGTGGCAGATTAAGATTACAAAACTACGGTTTGAATATATCGTTATGATAATGAGCGAAGTAGCGTTTACCTTTGAATGTATCTTCCTCGCAGTAATAGTTATTTACTTATCAGGCTACACCACGTTGTATTACGTCGAGGGGCATTTTGAAGAAGGGAGGGGGCAGTGGAGAGTCCGCGGTCGCTGCGCGCATGACTTATTATCTGGCTCCTTTTCCTTTAAAAAGTCCCGCGACGAAGGGAAAGGTGCCAGATCATCTTCGGCCGCTACGCGGCCTCGGACGCTTCATTGACCCCTGCTTCAAAACATATGAATACCTCCACGTAATACAACGTGGTGTAGCCCAAGATACGTAAATAAGTAGTATATTACTAATCGCATCTCTTTTAAGGTTCATTTTTCGATACTCCATGCGGAAAGTACCTACTTAATACACGCTCAGCCATAAACGTATGTTCAAAATAGTACATTACGATACAAGTGCGGGAAAATAGATTCTTGTCTCGTGTGGCGTTTACGCCCGAGCGAAGCGAGAGTAGAATGGTACACGAGACGAGAAACTCTTTCCCGAACATGTGCCGTACCGTATTTTTTGATACGACGTGTGGAAAGTGTGATTTTCAACGCACGTTTTCTACCGAGTGTGCGGGAAAGACATACTTTGCGCACGGAGTGTCGAAAACCAGCTTTCCACACATCGTATTGAAATAATACATTACGATATAAGCGCGGAAAAGTAGATTCTTATCTCATGAGCCTTTCCACCTTTGCTTCGCTCAAGCGTTAACGCCACATGAGACAAAAATCTACTTTCCCGCGCTTGTATCGTAATGTACTATATAGTCGAAAAACAATATTTTAAGATTACGATCTTCGGATAATTCGGCAGCATACATAGTTAGCCAATCGACATTTTCATTATCCTCCAGAGATGGTTTGTAGCTTATAACTGTTAAAACTTTTTCTCTGTTGTCTACATGTATTATTTCTGAATTCAAAGACGTATGGTTTGGTTATAGTGATGGCATTAACATTTTTAATGAATAAGAATGCATTTGCAAGGAAACACCCCCCCGCCCCAACCCAACCTCACCGATTTCAATAATCTGTTGATATGTTATAGTTCATGTAAAAATAAAATATATGTATTTTTTTCGATGGAAAAACACTTTGAGGCGATGAAAACCACCTTTAAAAGGTAGAATTTTAAATAAAAAAAATAAAAGTTGCACCCCTTATGGTCAGAAATGCATGCGCTAGTTTCGTATTCACATGAGAAGTGATATGAAATTAGTTTCATCGTAAAATATCATAAAAGCTGAGATACATTGGAAAATCTATTTTTGGAGCTGAACTTTGAGGGCGGTTTTCACCTCCTCAAAGTATTTTTTCGCCGATAAAAAAACACGTATGTTTTATTTTTTCATGAACTATAACATGTCAACAGATTCTTGAAATTGGTGAGGTCGGATTGAGGGGGGGGGGGGGGGGTTCCTTGTTATAGTGAATCCGTAAAAATGTTAATATTTTGATTCGGGTAATTGAGAACGAATTTACCTGCTTCGTTATATCTCAATTTTATTTTTGCTTATGAAACAAATGTTAAAAATGATTCAAATAGCTCCAAATCAACAGATTTTGAATAAATGAAAAATAACAGAATTTCACAAATGCAAGAACTCGAATTTTAATTTATAAAAAAATGTTCACTAAATTCTGTCTCCCTTACTTCAGAATCAACAAATAGAAATAATTTTTTTCGTACAATTAGGATGATTTTTTATTAATTTTTTAAGCCAAGTCTCATATTGGTACAAGTTTTCATTTCTATAATCGACTTTTTCCAGTTTTGTTAAGATTGTTAATAAATTTTTAAATTCACACGATTATGCGTTCTTCAATGTTCAAGGTACCTCGTTTCTTCCAAATAAATTAATTCATATTCTATTGAATATCAGACCTTAAAAGTCCTCTTGACCTACAAATTAGATACCAAAATATTTGCATCGATGATGACAACAATTGTTTTTATTAAAATTATTCACTAAAAAACCCAGTGAACCCGTGATTTTGAAGCCGATAGTATAAACTTCTTTGCATCTTTTTTTCTTCTTTCTTTCTATTAAGATAAATTTTCAATTTTTTTATTGTAAAAGAAGGGGTTTGTTCGGAAAAACCTATTCTATAAGTGTTCAAAAACAAGTTTTATTGTTAGCTGAGATAATAAAGTGTCGCGAGGCTGTAAAAGTTCCATGGAACAGCGTACATTCTCTGCTGATCATGTCGCTGCCTCGTATATTTACATTATTTTAGTCCCCTCGGAAAAGGAATTTTGACGCGGTGAATCGAACCCTTGACCCTACCTTGTGGAGCGACCCCAACCTTCTTTTCATGAGCCTCGCCTACGTGACTATGTACGAGTTTTACTTGCAAAAGGCCGTATATTTTACGAAGTCTACAGACAGTTTGAGTCGTGTGACGGACGGGTATTCGCGATGTCGTCGAAGAGGCTCGTTTTATATTCTTCCTCGAAAAACTTTCACGTTATTTTTCACGCCAATATATTCAACTTTTCTAATATCATTTGCCAATATTTCTTTCAATCTCGCAAATTGCATCATCTGAATAAATATTTTATGCATAGTGGAGTCGTCTCGCTTCGTCCAGAATTTGAAAATGACATCAATGACGGCGGCGACTTGAATAAATGATACGAGCGAATTGGATTAACCAAATAAATTTCAGATCAACAAAAGAGAAATAGCCAACCATTAGTAAGGATCGTGTAAATTAGAGACGCTCGATGAAAATCAGCCCTTAGCTGTTAAGTTGACAAAAAAAAGCTTTGAGCCGAAATGCTCTTCTCCAAGAAAACAGTTTTCGGAATGGTATTTGTTATTGTTGCAAATATGTTGTCTATTAAGAGGATTAAAAGTAACGCTTGCGTGAAAAAATGAGCTATGCATTTGGTGTTTAAACGTTTCGTCGAAGAAGTGATTGGTGCTGTAGAAGGGCTGGACTGTGCGTGGCGAAAGCCGTTTGGCAAACAGGTAATAAAGCTCGTCGCGTCGACCGACAGGTCAAATAGGCTAGAGCTTGCCAAGAAAAAAGAAATGGGCGATGACTTTAATTTGTTCGGTGTCGGGTTCGAACGAGGCGACGAAATTGCCACGAAGGGGTGTGCGGCTGTATACTGAAGTGCACGCTGACACGCTCGTAATTGAACATAAAATCGGTTATTCATATGATTGTCCAGACGATATTGATGTTGACTGGGCCAATGGGGTGGACGAGTCTGAACGTTTGACTCTCTGTTGTCCAATTTCATTTTTTCCTATTATTATTTTTGTCGTCCGAAGCCTAGTATAAATAGATGCGGCAAATTTACATGTGTAAAGCTGACGTTACATCGTAAAAGGGGAATTTTTACTCGTGCAATAGTATCGAAAAAGTCAGACTGCTTGGAGAAGTGCCCAATCGGGCAGAAGAGGCGACTTGCTACAAGGTAACTTGCAGATGTTTGACGCGATGGTAAAACCAAAGTGGGATAGAACAGCATCCTCGTGGGGATGAGCGACGTTTGATTGGATTTGTGTGAAGCAGCACGCGAAGCACGATCAATAGCTTGTAACGGAATTATTTAAGCCGACTATTCGTTGAAGAATACTTGCTCGCGGCCGTCCGCACAATATTTATCAAAGGAGGGCTCGGGAGGCACGAATGCTCCCACGACTGAATGGCACACCGAGCGTGTGTGCCAATCGCGCACGAATTGAAGGAAAATCGGGAAAACGAACGGGTTGACGCAGTGATTTATGACACAAATATATATATTAACAATTTATTATTACAAACACAAGAAATGAAAAATAAAAGAAAGACACACAAATTAATAATTAGACGGAGCACGCACACTCCATCTCGCAAATCGGCCTATTACAAAAATCACTAATCCGCTTAATCGGATTATCGGCAATCACTGCCCGATAATCCGCTTAAGCCTAAGCGCCCGCGAACTCAAAACCCGGTAACGGGGGCCGGCATCACTGCCCGACCTGCACCGTTGCACCCGCGAACACCCCGGACATGCAAGAGAGCGAGAGAAAGAGAGAGAGAGAGAGAGAGAGAGAGAGAGAAAACCGGCACCGACCTTCCCAACGGCGACCTCAGGTGAAGATGGCCGCTCCCGGTCAACGGCTGCGGCTTGCTGCTGCTACTGATGTTGTTGCTGTTGCTGTTGCTGCTGCAGCTGTTGCTGTTGTCGCTGTTGCGGCTGTTCAGCTGTTGCTGCTGGTGCTACTGCTCAGCCGCTCGCCGGATTCGCTCGCCGAACACGCGCGCGCCAGCGGTACGGGCTTCGCTTTCACCCGCGCACACCGGTGCTGGGCGGCAAGGCTTGGCTGGGCGCGACCCAGCCACTCACTCTCACTCAAACCAAAATAGAACCACCGATGCGCGCCCACACACCGGGTGCGCATCCACAAAACAAACGACGTGGCGAAGCACCGCACCGCTTCCAAAGAAAAACCAACGGAAAACCCAAATCGGCAACGAACGAAAACAAACGCGCGCACGCGATCGGCCAGCCCAAACGAAACTGCCGATTTTCCCCCCCGGCTGCGCACGCATCGGATCCGTGCGCAGCTCGCGCTCTCCCCATCCCGCTCGCTCTCCCGCATGACGATCCTGGCAACGGATCGCCATCCCGTCGGCCGCCCTCAGCTCCGCCAATGCCCGTTCGCCGCACCTCAAACAAAGAAAAACCAGGCATGAGAGTGTATACCAACAATACCAACACACTCTCAGCCCGGGTGTAGCGAACGGACGAGAGAGAGACGAAGGAGAAGTCGGCGAGCCGAAATTCTCCGTCACAAGCTATTCTTGATCATCGCTACAAAAATTGGTAAAAGAATGGAGCGCTACCCTCGAGACAAAGTTACGTTGTACTCGTATGGCTGGCAAATGTCATTCTTCAGCGATGCCATCAGGTGCGAACAAGCGCCACGACGTTGTTCGAGGCAATATTGCATTGGTGTGTTTTGTTATGGGCTGTGGGTCGTCACTCACGAAAAAGCCGCTAAAACTCGAAGAAACTCGAAGGAACTCGAAGAATCTCGAAGAAACTCAAAGAAAGGAGCTCGAGGTCTCCCGTTCGAATATAGAAGTGCGAATGAAAGCTTTCAGCGTATCCATACGAAGCAGCCGATACGACGCGACGTAATGGGCTCGCAAGCCTGTTATTCATAAAAGAATCACTGATGACTGCTTGAAATATTGGAAAGAGAGGCGCGTTTGTGAATGCGCGTCAGGCAGGCGATGCTTATCCGGGCCGAGCCTAAGTAGTCGATGGAAATCTGCCGGGCCGCCTCCGCTGGGCATGATTCCGCAGGAATCATTCGAAAGCCGAAGCGTCCGTGGAGCGGAATGAATGGAAGTGCTGCCCCATCGGGGATCCCGTGTCAATTTGAAAGATCGAGCGGAGCAAGTGAGGCAAGCCGGAGGGCACAAGCAACTGCAGTCGGAGAAAAGCAACGATAGCTTGCCGAGCGGTCTGCAAGGGCCGAGTATCGACGGGCAAGAAAGACACCGATGACGGCTAACTAAACATAGTTCGCTTCACGCAACATTTGGCTCGGCCATTTTTCAGCATTGCTCTCCCTCGGCTCTTTTTTCCTCGTTTCTCCTCGCTCGCCAGCGCCTCGTAATACAGCCATACACGCGAGCTGGCGCACCGTTATTCGGGGTGAGACTCGGTTGCCTGAAATTTAGGTCAGCCGCCAATCGATCGCACTGCGCTCATTCCGTTCTCTCTCCCTCTCTCCCTGCTCGCAGCGTCCCAACTTTTCAAGTTTCCGTACCGAGCGCTGTCGACGCACTGGCCATAGACAACACCGACAAAGTGCCAAAGAGTCAACGCGTGCTACGAGAGATCGATGTGCGATTCGCAGCTGCTATCCTTCCACGGATTCATTCGCTTCTGCGCTATTTTCGTAAATAGCTCGTAGCGCTATCCAACGCTGTTGCCAGCCCTTTCCGCTTGGCATTACTATACGTTGCGCTCACTCGAGCGGAGTTTCATTAATGAGAGGCATTAAATTGTCGATTACACTAGAAGACACCGACCAAAATTGCGAACTTTCCAACTGTCGCGTTCATACTGAAAAAATTAGTGGCGCTCCTCTCTCGCCAAAGTAATGATTGATGTGGCGTTGTCATCTCCAATTTGAAAGTTCTGCTACTCATGCAGATCCTAAAGTGCTCGCCGGTTTATTTATTACGAGGGCGGGAGGAGGGGGAGGGGACTTAGCTGCGATCTGGCCTGTCTCGATGACTCGTTGAGAGCAGCAATCGTTCTACCTGTCTTGTCGATTAACTGGAAGGTAAGTCGGCGGAGAGAGCGCGCAAGAAAGCCTCACGAGGCGAACTGCGCACCTGGCTGTCACCGTGGCTTTTTCACGTGACACGAGGCATATTCACGCTCCAGATCGCACGGAAAACGCGGGGCGGACGCGCGTATTTGCCGCCAGAAGAGAGCCAGCGACCAAATAAAAAAAAAGGAAAACGAGGCATGTAAACAGGCGGTGGCGTGGCACGAGGTCCCCGTGCCGGATGAATTTATGGCCTTTCCTCTGCGCTCTTCACCTGTCGTCTGCACGTCCTGCCCCCCCCCCCCCCCCCCCCCCGCCCCTTTATTCTCATTCGTAAAAGCTTCAGGTTATTTATTGTGTTGTTTATATTCGATTTCTCACTTTGCTGGCAGACTTTTCCCAAAGCCCGCAGTCTTCGTCGGTCTTTCGGCTAGCACGCGCACCTGCAGCTCCGCTTTATGCGCTATTACGTATAACGTCGCAGTGCCCGGGCTGCCCGACTACTGCACTGTGAGCATTATTAATAATAATGCCTTGGAAAATCGCCCAACGAACTTTTATTAAGCCAACATTCGGCCTGCCGATTTCCAGGATGGATGATAAATTGCATAAGACCAAGTAATTACAGGCAGCCAAATGTCACGATAGTCGTTCCCACTTGACTAATCGTATTTGAGTTTATGTATTAGTTTCGTGCGGCACGTGCCAAATGATATATTGGAGTGTATCGATGGTCGTTCACTCTTTCCCATGGATGTTTCATTAATTATCCCGTACTAGAAGTAATTTCGTTTGACGAATATTCCCTTGACAACCAAGTCGACGATAAATATGGCGCCCCCAATGAAATTCACTTTTTCTCCAGTAACGAGCTACGATGATTGAACAATTGCCGACTTCGCGAACAATCGAGTACAATTTGTATAACAAAAATAAGTGAAATGCGACCTACTTTTATTCTGCGCCTGATTTCGTTGTGGGGCGTGCCTTATCTCATGTTTTGGTTGTCATCTAATCGAGAACATTATCCCCCCTAGATTCGTTCCTCTAGTATTATTTTACGTCGCCGGCGCCAGTGTCAGCCTCCATTTCATTCGCCCTCTCGTTTTCCGGTAAAGAGAATTCAGCTAAGTGTTTAGTCTTGAAAACTTTAATTTTTGAGTTACTGCTAAATGCAATTGCCGTCTTCTATGGGGAAGAATGTTTAGCAGCGCTATAAATTTGCCAACAAAAAGTCACGCTTTTTATTGAACGTTGCATAGATGCGCCGAGGAATAAGTTGGTTTAATATTCGAAAAAGTCGATTTTCTGCGTGGAAAAATACGAGATAAAAGAGCGTGCGCCACCATGAAAGAAAGCGAGAGGGAGAGCGAGACAGAGAGAAGAAATGTAGAAAGAAAAAGCTTTCAAGACAGTTTTACAACTAGATAGAAGGCTGGAAGCTTCATTTCCTGGCAAGTCGCCGGGACGAGATGCTGGACGAGCGAGCAGCACGCAGAGCTATTTAGGCGAAAGAATGAGGGATGAAGCGGTGTAGGAATGGCGGCCACGTGGCTGCTGTATTGAAGTTTAGGAGTTGAGGAGGCATAAGACAGAAAGAGGACCAACTCAAAGGGTCTCTTTCTCACTCTCAATGTCGGCGGCCTTAATCCGAGCGAGTGGCTTTCGCCGTGTAATATACTGCGCGCAGTAGCAAGTAACTTCAAGTATTAAGTTTAAGGGCTCGGCTCGACCTCGGCATCCACTGTTACGAAACGAGGCCGCTTTTACAGCCAGTAAAATGTTGATTGGAATCCCGCCGATCGCAAGCCAGGGAGCTACTACGCCGCCACTTCGTCAACGCACCGCTCTGCGCTTGCTCGTACCTCAAAAGCGCGACCCAACGACTCTTTCAGCTGACGACGACTCAAGAAAATCACGTATAGAGCGTGTAAGCAGCCGTCGTCTACGTGTATACATTCAATATTTTAATGTCTGGGCATCGTTTCAATAATCAGCCAGCTTCTTATTCCAACTATTGGGCTATATTTATTTCTATTTTATTATGTCACGTTTATTACGAATTAAACTATCGTTTCAGCTTCCTCAAACTTGAAAATATTTACTCGTGAAAGAACAAATGAGCTTTCTAATTCACTGTTATTAGTTCTCACAAAAATCGCTATTATGATCACTCGTTACAAAATATATTTACAAACTTACATAGACTACTGTTCGTAAACAATTGGTACAGTGAACAATACGTTTTTCTAATAAAATTATCTCTCTTGTCTTAGACAAATTTCACCTGGGAGTACTTCACAAAGGAAATGCCTTTCCTTACAAGACATTTCTTGTAAGTGAACATATACCGATGAATAAGTATTAATTTTTCCATCGCTCTTATATCATTCTGTCCTTTGTCGACGCTAAAATATTTGTAAATGCCGATTCTTATCCGCCCTTACCTTAGCCGATTTGAGAACGTAACTTATAGCTTGAAAACAGCTAATTATGGTTGATTATAATTATTATAAATATCTTCAACCTTGTTTTCAGTTGTAAATGAGTAAAATTAAAAATTCACGGTAAAAACTTTCACACGTAACGAACGTGTGAAAAAATTAAATGATACGTTTCGTAAATGTTAGGAATAAAGATCGAATCCAGCGTGATTTTTCAGTGGTTAACGGACAACTTTGGGCACGGTTCGGTGCATATAAATAAAACGTTCACGTAACACAATAGCGCGTCACTCGATATTTTTTAAACGAGCACTAAAAGTACAATAATCGTGTAAAAGTAGCCGTAAAATGTGGCGCGCAGTATCGACGTTTGACACGTGTCTGACCAACTCGTGTCCGCGCATTCTGCGTACAATAACGAGATTTCTGTTGCGATTATTGGACGTCGCCAAACGAAACTATCTGCAAAAAACGCACGAACATGTGCAGGTGAAAGCAGTAGACGATAGATGGCAAGAAGAGAAGGTGCGAAGGGGCGTGGAGTAAAACAGAAGCGAGGAATCTGCACGTGTCGAGCGTTGAATTACTCGGGGTGCACTGCGCCAGAGGACGGATTGAGCTCGAAGGGACGTTGGCGCGCGATGCAGCAGATGCTGTTCCTTTCGCGGCACTTCGCCCATCGCCTGCTCCGAAAGAATGCAGCTCAGCTCGCGCTGGGAGCTGACTCGATTCGGAAACAAATGATCAAGCGAAGTGCTGCTCAACTATGCTTCTGCTGCTGCTGCTGCTGCTGCTGCTGCTGCTGCTCGAGCGTTTGTCTTGGATAACTGTCCTCGCTTCGCGTGCATTGGCTCGGCGGTCCTTTGCATTCCGTTCTGTCGACGCGACTATTCTCTGGAACTTCGGCAGACGATCTCTCGTCGAAGACTGTTGCGCCGGCCGGCTTGCACTAACCAAGTATCACCATATAGTCGCTGTGAGCGAGGGAAGATGAGTTGCAGGCCCGATTGGAGGCGCTTTATCGAGCGAATCAAGCCCGCGGGCGGACGCTGCCCTGCTCTCCAATTTGGGAATTGGAAAATGACGATTAGCACGTACCGCGGCGCGATCATTGTCAAACGAACGAATTCTGATCGCGCGTGCGAGCTGCTGCGTACACCCTCTGCATTCGCG